AATACGAAGAATCCCCGCGCCACAATTATGACACAATCCTAATTGTAGCCAGAATCGACAATGCTAAAGTGCTAAAGGTAATGGTCGATAATGGGAGTGCAACGAACATCATTTTCTTGGGAGCTTTCCGAGGAATGAGGTTCATAGAGAGAGGCCTGAGGGCATGCCCTTCTCCGCTCTATGGATTTACCGAGACAACTTGGTTCCCAAAGGGATGATCGACCCCCCTGTCACTCTAGGGACAAAGCTCAAGATCGGGACGGTGATGGTTGAATTCCTAGTGGTAGACTATCCAACCGCATACAATGTCATCCTCAAAATACCGACCTTGGATGACTTTAGCGTAGTCACATCAGTACGTTGCCAAGCAATGAGGTTTCTGACTCTAAGGGGAGTCGCGACGATCAGGAGCTGTAGAAAGGAATCTCAGGAATGTTACAACCGGGTCATACATAAAACACAAAAATGGCCGCTCCCGAGAACAATGGTTATCATAGAGTCTAAGACAAACCCCGGGCCTCTCGAGGATACCATTGATCCTTGCATCCATAGAGAAGAGCCTGCAACAAGGCCGATGGAAGAGTTACGAGAAATATGTGTCAACAAAGAGGATCCAACTCGCGTACTAAAAGTCGGCAGTAGCCTAAGCAAAGACATAGCCGACAACCTAGCAGGGTTTTTGAAGAAAAACCTCGACGTTTTTGCATGGGTGCATGTGGCTATGATGGGGATCAGCCCCGAGGTAATGTGTCACAAGCTGAACATCGACCCGAAAGCTCGACTGATAAGGTAGAAAAGAAGTTCTATGGATGCAGAGCGCTCTAGAGTACTCAAGGATAAAGTTGACAAACTCGTGAACATCAACTTCATCAAATATGCTAAGCTCTTTATGCTAAGCCCCATTCCTTGAGCTTCGACCTTCATCCTCTCGACCTCTCTATGCTAAGCTCGCGAAAGGAAAAAGAAATCGATCGAGGGATGGGCCTCTCACAACTTCTGTAAGAGTAACACTAACGTCTGCAAAGCTCGAGTAGTGATGGTTTCATTAAACTCTTCAATTTGAAGTCTGAGTTGCCTAGCCTCAGCTTCAACTTTCTATAGACCTTTCGCCTCCTAGGCAAGGTTATGCGAGGACCGTTGGAATTTAGCCTCCCAATCTGAGGCAGGTTTTTGAGCCGAGGAAGGCTCAGAATTCAGTTTGTTATTAGCACCTCGCTATTGTGCCAAATTCTTTCCAACCTCAATTGCCTCAGCTTCAGCATTAGCTCGCGCGACCTCACTCACTTTGAGCTTGTCAAGGAATTCCCTTTCCTTGACCCCGAAGGTCTCCATTTCCACTTTGAGCCGCTCGAGCTTAGCATGCTTGGCTTCCTTCTCCTTCTCAACAACCTCAGCCCTGGCCAAAGCATCATTTTTCACCGTCTCTGCCAATTGCCACCCTTTATGAGTGCCCTCCAATGTGGGATAGCATTCATCATAAAGAACTACCGGTATTTTCGCCACATAACTACACACCAAGGCTAGCATCTAGGTGGGAGGCGAGTCTTTAATAGTTGTGAATGTTTGCGGGGTGATGCTATCCTTGGCCGCTGTGGCCCCAACGCTGATATGGTCGGGGAGTTGATTGATCAGCACATCAACCGCAGCTTGAGCTACTTCATCCATTTTCTTGCCTCCCAACTGGGATGAGCTAGACTTACTCCCCCTAATAGCGTCAACCTCGCCTGCAGGAACAAACTTCTTCTTGGCCAAATCCTTGGCCGCTGATTTCTTTGGGCCACCAACCTGCGCGGTGACCTCCTTACCCAAGCTAACTTGCTGCTCAACCACCTTTTGCTTACACCAGCCCCCTAAAGGCTCGATCAATTTCTTCTTACCTGAGCTGTACTACTGCTCCAGTGCCTTTTGTTTCCCCAAGCCTCAAGTTAGCTCAGGTGCCTTTTTTACTAGCCCATTTTAGAGCTCGAGGGCATTTTTCCCAACAACTGTCTTCAAGGTAGTCGTAGGCTTCTTCGCACTTGGGCCTTCCCCAAGCTCGCCTCCGCCATACTTCACGCCAGCAATGTTAGCGGGTTGTTTCATCGCCAAAGCAACTGATGTCTTCTTAGCAACCGTCGAAGCTGTCATTTTCTTCTTAAGGCTTTTTGGCTTCTCAGCCCACATTTCTGCAAAAATGAGAAGCAAACGGTGAGCGACCTATACATGCGGGAAAACTAAGCTCAAGCAAACGATAACTTAACCATTTTCAAGAATGGTAAGAAACTTGGCGTCACCCCAACAGAAGCTGTATGCTCTCAACTGAGGAAGCGTAATGATCTCGTTAACGTTACACTGTCCATCGAGAAGGTTGCTAAAACGTTGGAGCCTCTGCAAGCTCGCGATAGGGAGATAGTTATGCTCGATGTTAACTGCAGAACAAAGTAACTTAGTTAGCTAGAACACAAAGCTCAAAAGCGATCCTCACAAGCACGGGAAGTCGAAGTCTTACTCACTTCTGAAGCAAAAATGTCGGTCTCCTGGGCTTCGTAGAAGAAAAATTGGGAGTCCTAATGCAGGACCTTTTTCAGGACATCAACCAGCTCGTTGAAACATACCTTCCTCGCCTTGGAAAGGTAGTACGTCTGGTCTTTCCCTTTCTTGAGCCTGTACAGATGGACGAGCTCCTCGACGGATGGCTCGCCTAATTTAGCGATCATGTACGCTATATATAAACCGATGATAATGACATATGAATTCGCGGACAACTGGAGGGGAACAATATTGAACTGCCTTAGAACGTTGTCAATAAAATAATGAGGGGGAATAGATACCCTGCATCTCAGGAGGGTCTCAGAGATTGTCACCCATCTGGTGGGGGGATTCTTCCGAGAAGAGTCCCCTAAAGCTATCAAATTAAACTGCGGTACATAGACCTCTATTATGCGCTCCAAATCCCTGATGGTAATCAAGGATTATGGTTCCCTTCGCAGTTTGTGAACTAGAGACCGCTTGGATTGAGCCAACTAAATCGAAGCACGATCAAAAGAGCCCATTGCGTTGGGGTCCAAGCTTTGCACGATGATTTCCTCGGAGACCTCGGGAGTTATATCCCCATGAACTGTCGAGCCCGCGAGTGAGTCAAACATTCATCAATTGTGTGATTGCTTGAAGAAGACATAATTATAGCTCGCTTCTAGGTACTTGAAACAGAAGCGAACATGTGTTAGAGGTCGAAAAACTCGACGACCAATTCACACTTGCTTTCAGTTCAAGTATTCAAGATAGCTCACGCCACACGACGAACGCACGCGACCTACCCAGAGTTTCGACTGCCACCGTAATAAACCCTCCTTAAACCCAGGACCGCTAGAGACACACCAAAAAACCCTACTAAAGCCCTAGAACACTCAATGTGGCCACAAGAATGGCCACCCTTTGATGCAAAAATTAGAAAAAACTGATAAAGAAAGGGAAAGAAGCCGTACAGGAACAAGAGGAGTGCAAGAACCAGCCAGAAAGAGCACCGTGACGACAATGAAATAGCAACGGAGTGAACAAGGATGTTGAAGATTTTTGTGGGTTGAGTGAGTATTCTAACGACTTTGCCAGCTTTTATAGTGGCTTACATGGGAGACGAAAGGGCGGGTTCAATCGTGACTGTTGACCTACAGTGAATCTCGACCCTTCATTCGTCGAGCAATCTCAGCCATTAGACGTGGCCACGTGTCATCCATTCACAAGGGGCGACAAACCATCAGACTGCTATAATGATAATCGTCGCCGCACATCGCCTCGACTCCACACATAGATAGCTATAGTCACCCACGTGCAACAAAACGTGACTGCCAAAGGTTGTCGCATTTAATGCGACCTAACCGCATGGAATTTACATAACTGCCCTAACTTTTCATATTATGAGTTTGTCAGGTATCATAGGAAATAAAAATCCAAGTGTGAAGTACGTCGGCTAGACATGAGGTTGAACCTTAAAGCTCGACTGAACCTATCTTTGGTGACCTGCTGGTAGTATTGAGCTTGATATCAAATTGAGCAATAGTCTTCGAAGCCCAAAATGAGCATCAAACACTAGGGAGCAGATGTTGTGTGTGATTTTTCCACCAAGCTCAGCGATTTGCGAGGTATTAACTCGACCCCGAATTAGTCCGACTCTACCAGTTGTCCGACCCAGCATAAACTCGTTGACATATAGCTCAACCCAACACAAGCTAGTCGCGAACAATTCAAATAATCATTCAATCGATTCCCAAATAACTTCGGATCCCAAATATTACGGGAATGATCAGATTAACAACAATCTCTACGCAATCACAATGCCCAATTGCGAGAATATCAGAGTTGCATTTCAAATCAATTGTAATCCCTTTATTTTTGCTCTTTCCTTTGTACAAACATTTTATATAAACCCTTTGAAATGATGAACATGGGTTACAAAATTTTAATAGAACTCTTATTGTAAGCTCTCACAACAAATACAAGAAAAGTGGACGTAGGCTCAAGAGTTTGCCTCGCCGAACCATTTTAAAAATCTCATTGTCATTTACTCTACTACATTTATTATTCATCCATCGCTGATTATCCGTAATCACGCTCACATCTATTCCGATTCCACCAAGGTCAATTGGATCTCTCTGGTTGGTGCGAATTTTCGTATCAACAACTTGTAATCAAAGTTCCAAAATCTCCAACCTTAACAATAAAAAAAACACATTGCAAAAAGTTGATCACAACAAAAAGAATTAACCCATGATCACGAAAGATAAAGAATCATATTAATTAATAAAAAAAAACTAATTGGATCCCCATATTGTCAACAAAAAAAGTGCACCAGAAATCTAATTGCAACCATGGAGAGGAATTAAATTGAAAATTCTGTATTAAAAAAAAAAAAGAAAAAAAAAAGAAGAGAAGACATAAGAAAATGAATCCATATGGAAGAATACTGTGAACAAATTACATGCAATTTTAACATAATGGGAAATGATAAAATTTATTTCCAAAAATTTAGCCTTCTCCAACCTTGGGTGGGCTCGAAAGTTCTTAAAGAGCTTGGTTGAAAATGTTTCATGTGTTGATTTTGGAAACATGCTGCTTAGATAAGAAAATCAGGATGAGGACAAACTGCATGGGAACAATTCTATAAAGCGTCACGCACCAATTTATACTTAAGAAGTCAAACTGTACCAAGCTTCATCCAGGAGAGCGATAATGGTTTTCTGCAAATAAATTCTTTAATATTTAACTCTTTGTAACGGTAGAAAGAATCAATGGCCCAACCACAATCTCTATCGGCTGCCAAAACCGAGAAAGAAACAAAGCTGAAAACAAACCCAGAAATCCAGAAACAATCAAAGTCCTCTTCATCATGCTTTCTCTCTTGGCTTTTTCTAAGATCGACAAATTGGTCTTCAAATGTTTCCACCCACTCCCGGTATTAACAAAACCATCACCACCAGCGAGTCCATTTTCTTCATCTTGGACTTCTTGGGATGTGGGTTCCACCTAGATTCAGAGGTCGCCGTTCAAGAGGAACAATTATACGAGACACTAAATAAGGTAAACATAAAATAAATGTTGCAAGTACCTTAATGCAATGCCTCCAAACCCACCACTCACCCGTAGCTTCTGCATTAAATATTGAATAGTCCAAATTAATGACATTTGAAAATGTTTATGTTTCATTCTTAAAGGATAAATGCCAAAATCAACTCAATTAGACTTTACTATGTAAATACATGATAGATAAAAAACTATCATTGAAATTCACTGAATACCAATCAAACCCATTTCATGGTAAATCATTCAAAAAACATCAACACTAACATAAATAATAAAGTCAATTGAAAAAAAAAAAAAAATTAATTTCATCCCCACAATGCAAAACTTAGCTCGTAATTTTAAATTTTTAACATGGATTTACATATCCATCCATACCCACATGGCCAGCTGAATTTTCGGAACTTGTGGCTCATCCTCACACTCTATATGCATAAGAAACTCATTAGCTGCCTAAAATCATAAGGGTGAGACTAAGTGCACCTAAAATTGACTCTCAAGCTCCGGTACTTTCTAACTAAGCATAGTCATGGATTTCTACTTCATATATTTTCCATCGATAAAAAAGAAAATATTTCGAAATTTTTGATAAAGTGTGCACTTAGAAAAATGAGTGATAAAAACCCCACTCCAAAGCGGCAATTTATCAAACACATGGTCTGCTTAGGAAACCAAACAAATAAGCAGCACCATTATTTATCAAACCTTGTTCAGTTGGCAGAGACTCGTCTTCTCTGGAATGGGTAAGCTTGAAGCTGGTGAAAAAGAAAATTGAAACATATTTTGAAGCTGTCATTTTTTTCTTTTTTCTTTTTCTCTTCTGTCTGCAAACTGAGTCTTGCCTAATTCTACAGGATTTTTCCGTTTCTAATAGGTTGCTTTAATTGTCTTTTCAAATGTACAGCATTTGAGTGCCTCCAATTTTAAGCATGAAATTATAAAGAAAAACATAAACTTGAACGCCTCCCCGAAACAAAAGGGATGGCTGGCTACGACAGGTTCAATTGGTGTTGGGGGTCAACTACTGAGCAGAATCAACAACTTACATTAGTTTAGATGCAACAGTATCCGCATTTCCACTGGGTCAATTGGATCTGATTCAAATGCTTCCGCCTCTGACGCTAATCCACTGGATGTTGCTGAAACTCCGTTTGCTACTTTTTTTCTGGGTCGACTAAAATTGGTGAAGCTTCTGCCTTCCTCGCTTCAGCATAATAATCTTGCTTCTGCCTTCCCCTAAGCATTTGCCAGAAAGTACATTCAATATCCATTTGTTGCCACTACATTAATGAACCAAAAAAACAAAAAAAAAAAACAAAAGAAACATAATTGAATCATAATACTAACTTTTCAACATGCAAAAAGCAATTCTTTCTTCAGCTTCCATTAAATATACATTATTTGAGATACTCAACCCACATACATGGTTTATATATAGATGAAAAATATGTAAATTAGTGGATGTTCTAATTGAACTCACCATTTAGTGACAACAACGGGATCTCGGCAGAGGAGTCTTAGTCATTGGCTTCAATAACCTCAACCATTTGTTCAACAGATAGATTAGCCTCAATAGCTTTACATAATTCTTCAAACTCCACATCTATAACATCAGATTCTCCAGCTTTTCCATTAGTCTTGCCATTGCCATTGTCATGTGTTTTGTTTTCAGCTTTCTGCTTCCTTGCCATCACTTTCTCTTCATCAGCAGATGCATGATATGTACCATTTATATCTCTACCCACATGCTTTACACCTGCACCGCAACACAAACCTTTCAGTTTCGTCATAACATTTATTCTCTGCCCATTTACATATGGTTTTTGGTGCATCAATTTACAGAACACAAACATCAAGATAATTCTTGCATTAGCATTGACAACTGGATTGTAATCAGACTAATGCCATATTGCATACGATCTCCCAATTGATGCATTACAAAAGATCCTGTTTTATTCAAAGATGTAGACTATAGCTAAAATCAGTAATGAGCAAATAAAATAAGCAATTTGGTACCTGAATATGTAGGTGCATCAGCTAAACATGAGGCAAATCAAAGTTAATGCCTTTAATGTGAGGATAATTAGAAGTGATGACATCAAGAGTAACACCAATTCCACCGCCAACATCAACCAACACTTTCAACCCTTCAAATCCTTTGTAAACATCAAGAACTTTCTTCAAAATCAAGGTAGTGTGGTTGGACATAGCCTGATTAAAACACCCGGTTGAACCTCTGATCCGTCCCCGGATATTCAAATGTCGTCATCCCATATGGCCTGTTGAACGGGATTCCACCTTCTAGTATAACATCATTAAAGTGATACTTGATAACCAAATAAAATCAATAACCTGCCCTGAATTTGCAACTACTTGATAAAAAGCCTTTCTAAATTATAATTAATCATTTGAAATTGGTCTTCGATATATAGAGGCAATAATTAATCTAATTATTTATATGCATAAATGCTAAAGAATAAAAATAAATACTTATTACCGAGGGCCTGCGCATTGTACGGGTTGCTTAAGAAAGTTGTTTTAACATCATGTTTCTTTGAATAATTGGATATTTCAAACTTTCAATTGGTTGCAATCTACTATAGATGTATAGACATTATATAGATTGGAAATGATATACTAGATCTCCTAATTATATTTGTTATTGATATGAATTCTTGCAACCTAATTCATATGTCTCCATATATCAACCAATTTTAACTCAACCTAAGCTAGATTTCACTTGCAACACCTTAACACAATTCGACTAACACCATTATAACACCTTAGAACAACACCTTATATCAAGCCTCAATCAACACAAACTTATTCCATTTTTAAATGCACAACACAAACTTGGAACACAACAAAATAAACCAACTCGAAAAGTGAGATAAATGGTAACCAAGTGAGATTAACTTACAAGATAGATGACCAATGGATCAATCAAGCCTAAAGGAACTCCGCCAGCTTGAATGATCAATCCACCACCCAGTTTGGCTGAACTTGGGTAAAGGAACTCAAGAGAAAACAATTCTCCAAGGCAAAATACTATTCATGCAATATTCAATATCTAACTTCATATTATGATAAAATGGCCTTTAAATAGGCTTTACAAAACAAGGGAATTGCCCTAGCAAATATAACAACAAAATATTAAGGGATAATTCCCCACCATACAATATCAAAAGTGCAAGCCAGACCCATTTAATGCTATAGACAACCTTTCCCTAAATTAAGGATCTATGTCCCTAATCACAATTTTCTTGATTTTCCTTCAACGTTTGAACCAAATAGCATCCACAACTTGGGCTTGGGCCAATGAAGCTTCTTCCCACTTGATCTCCATGACTTGGGCTACAAAAAAGGGCTTGTGCCATGTGTTGGACCCTTAACACCTCTTGGACAAGTTTGTGAGCTTCCTTGAGTGCTTGGGCCGAATGTTGTCCATCTTGGGGTCCTTGAATCTTCAATGAACTCTCTTGCATGCTTAAAGAACATGATGGGCTTGGATTCTCATCATCCTCCCTGGGTTGAGAAGGATTTGTCCTCAAATCCGAAAGTTCCCCATCTTCTAAGTATGGAGACAAGTCCCCAATGTTAAAAGTAGCCGAGACATTACCAAATTCAGAGGGTAAATCGACTTTATATGCATTATCCCCAACTCTTCTAAGGACTTCAAAGGGACCATCGGCTCTAGGTGCTAATTTCTTTTTCTTGGAAGGAAAACTCTCATTTCTCAAATGAACCCATACAAGATCACCCAGTTGGAAAATGGTGAATTTTCTATGTTTGTTGGCTCTCTTCCTATAGGCCATTGGACTTGGCTATTTGCGCCCTAATTGATTCATGTAGCTTTTTCATGGACTTGGCCTTCTTCTTAGCATTAAGGTTCAATTGTATATCAAGGAGTAGGGCACTAAGCTCTATGGGAGTGATGGGATTAAGTCCATAAAGAACTTCAAATAGGGAATGGTTAGTGATAGCACTAGGGGACCAATCATAGCAAATTCAGCATGGGCTAACTTGTTGTCCCAATCTATCAAACTCTTGCTCACCAAGGTCCTAAGTATGGTTCCTAGGGTTCTATTGGTGACTTTGGTTTGACCATCAGTTTCGGGTGATGGGAAGTGCTAAACAAAAGTTTTGTACCTAATCTACTCCATAAAGATCTCCAAAAATGGCTAAGAAATTTGGTATCCCTATCTGACACTATACTCCTTGGCACACCATGCTATCTCACAATTTCTTTGAAGAATAATTCAGCCACATGTGATGCATCATTGTTTTTGTTACATGCAATAAAATGTGCCATCTTAGAGAGTCTATCAACAACAACCATTTTGGAATCTTTACCTCTTTGAGTTCTCAGCAATGCCACAATGAAGTCCATGCTCAAGTCTTCCCATGGTTGGTTTGGAATGGGCAATAGAGTGTACATCCCCAGCTTGAAATGACTTTTAGCTCTATGACAAACCCCGCATCTTGCCACTATGGATTGGACATCCCCAATCATCTTAGGCCAAAAGAAATGATCCTTAAGAATCTCCAAGGTCTTGGTAACCCCAAAATGACCCGCAAGCCCCCTTCCATGCACCTCTCTCACAAGCAATTCTCTAAAACTCCCTTGAGGTACACATAACCTGTTTCCCTTGAACAAAAATCCCTTTTGAACCACATAATCTTCAAAACTGCCCCTTGAACACTTAGCCATGATTTCGGCCATTTGTTCATCTCTTTTGTAATGCTTCTTCATCATGCTAAACCTAAGTACTCTTGCATCCAAAATGGAAAGGATGGAGTACCTTCTTGACAATGCATCCGCCACTACATTAGCGTTCCCTTGTTTGTACTTGGACACAAATGAAAAGGATTGAAGGAATTCAACCCATTCGGCATGCCTTGAATTCAATTTATGCTGCTCATTAATAACCTTGAGAGCTTGGTGATCCGAATGTATAACAAATTGTTTAGGCCTCAAATAATGACTCCAATGATCTAAGGCTCTAATAATTGCATAGAACTCCTTATCATAAGTGTTATATCTCCTCTTAGAATCATTAAGCTTTTCACTAAAATATGCTAATGGCCTTTTATCTTGAGTAAGGACTACCCCAATTCCAATTCCACTAGCATCACACTCCACCTCAAACACCTTAGAGAAATCGGCTAGGGTTAGGATAGGTGCTTCACAAAGCTTCCTTTTAATCACCTCAAAAGCATCTTTTGCCTCCCTTGTCCACTCAAAATTCCCTTTCTTTAAACATTCAGTGATGGTTGACATAAGGGTACTAAAGTTAGATACAAATCTCCTATAAAATGAGGCTAAACCATGAAAAATCCTTACTTCATTAATGGTTTTAGGTTCGGGCCAACTCCTAATTGCATTTACCTTTGATTGATCAACCATGATTCCCTCTCCCGAAACTACATAGCCTAGGAAGATTACCCTCTTCATGAAAAACTCACACTTCTCCATCTTAGCATACAATATTTGTTTTCTCAACACTTGTAACAGACCGCCTGGCTTTGATACCCTGACTGGTCTGGCCCAGATCACCTGGGCAAGTACTGTCCCCCCCCCCCCCCTCTTAAGGGATTTCTTCGCCCCCCCCCCCCCTCGAACCCAAGACCAAGGGGCTATAGTCAATTGGGAAGCAGGGTGAGTACCATCAGGCTAGCGAGAATCCCCTTAGGGGGGGGGGGGGGAGGGGTGGGGGGACAGTACCTGCCTAGACGAACTGGGCCAGACTAGTCAAGGTATCAGAGCCAGGTGGTCCGTTACATAAAAAGGCGCCTTTTTATTGTCACAACCCAATCTGCACCATGGGCAAGGCTGATCGGCCCCTCTACTTAGGCCCACTTTGTGTGACTCACTAGGACTATCTCCCCCCCCCCCCCCCCCCCTTTAAAGGATTTCTTTCGCCTTCCCCACCACTCGAACCCAAGACCAAGGGGCTATAGTCAATTGGGAAGCATGGTGAGTACCATCAGGCCTTGGTCTTGGGTTCGAGTGGTGGGGGAGGCGAAGAAATCCCTTAAGGGGGGACAGTACCTGCCCAGGCGAGCTGGGCCGGACCAATCAGGGTATTAGAGCCAGGCGGTCCGTTACAACACTTCAAACACTTGCCTAAGATGGTTTCTATGTTCATCCTCACTATGGCTATACACCAATATATCATCAAAATAAACAACAACAAATTTGCCCATAAAAGGTTAAGTGCCTCATTCA